AACCTCAGCACGTGGGGTCCTGTTCCAGCTGAACAAACCTGCAGGGAACAGGCTTGAACTTGGCCAAAAACGGCTCCACACGAGGGCAGAGAGGGCTCCAAGGCCCGAGGGAGGGGACAGCAGTGACAATTTCAAGCAAGGGCTCTCAGGCTCTGCCAAACAACACTTCAACCCTTTCCTTTTTCACTGAACTGGAAGGATCTCAGTCACAACTGGGAACGATTGCCAGGATTGCCTCACTTCCCCACAAACACCTGGCTGCTCCTGGGCAGGGCTGCCCTGGGTCTGCCCCACGCAGAAGAGGGAGAGACACTGTACAGGAGTTAAAGGAGGCAACAGAATTGAAATCACCACTTGCAGCAGCAAAATACTGCTTTGAAAATGTTTTTGGCATCCATTAATTAGAAGTCAAGTAAATACCGGCTTCAGGCATCTTAAAAGTTTCTTCCTTGCTGCTCCCCACCTCGAGCCTTACACAACACCCAGGAATGCACTGCCTGTGTCACAAGAGGTCAGCTGGGCTGAGGAGAGACCTACAAATCCAGGAATCTGAGAAATGAAACGCTATGAAAGTATCCTAAATATTGAGAGCTCTCCAGAAAGCAGCTGCAGCACACCAGGCACTGGGAGCTGTGAGGTTTCCAACCAGCCCTGAGAGGTTTTGTGACCGTGGTGGGATTTGCACGAGGCTGTAAATCTGGATGTGTTTTCTCTCTGAGACAGAGAACTGCTGAGCACAGAAATTTGTGTTTTCCCATCAAAGGATGGAAAAATCCTAATAACCTTTCTGAGGAAAGCCACAGTCCCTCAAGTGTGAGCCTTGAATAAGGAATTGATGTTTTCAGCAGCAGCAGCTCCTGCAAGCGCACTGCCAGGTTCTTTCCTGACAGCACCACAAGGTCATTTCCTGTGGATGCAACAAACTTTGGGAATTGCATTGGCTGTGGTAAGAATTTCTTACAGGTGACACCAGAGTCACCAGGCCATTCTGGAGGCCGGGCAGAGCCGTTTCCAGGAGCCGGGTGTGGCTGGCACCAGAGCAGGAACAATACCCCGAGCTGACGCTGCTCTCGCTCGCCTCTCAGCAGGAAGGAGCCGCGGTTTCCTCATTGCCACTGCCCGGGCAGCCCCGGGAACAGCCCAACAATGAGCCGGGAGCCACTGCCGGGAACACGGAACATTCCACAGCAGCTCCCCAAACGAGCTCTGCTGAAAGGTGACCTTTGGTTTAATGCTGATGGAGTCACTGCTCTTTGATTCAGTTCAGGGACGGTAATAATAATAATAAATTAATAAAACCTCCTCAGCACAACAAAGGGCAGTGCTAAAGCAAACTAACCCCAAGCTGGGCTCATTCCACAGGTTCCCGTTTGCAGCTTTGTTCCACACCTGGACACCACCAGCACTGAAGGGCTGAGTGGCCTCAACAGCCTCTTCACTCATAATTCAAACATGGTAATAATCACTTTTTTTTGACCAAAATACCAGGTTATTTCCCCGATTTTTTTAACACGTTCCAAGCAGTCCCTGACTGCAGGGCTCTCCCCACTTGCTGGGAGGTGACAGAACAGCGGTGAGTTTCTGTTTGAGCTCCTTCCCCTCTTGTGACAGCTGCCCCAAGTTGTTCCAGCCTCTCCCTCTGCCAGAACAATGTTCTGCTGCCTCCACGAAGGCAGAGTGGATGCATCAATAAACAAGTGAAATGTATGAAGAAATTCAGGCCAGCATTTCCTACCCTCCATTAGACACTTGAATTAGCAAAGCCACAGCGAGCTTTTCACCATAATCCTTCTAAAAACGACTTTGCACGAGCATACACAAACAAACATGTCCTGCCTGAATGCAGCAGAGGGGTTTCGCTCCCGTCCCCTCCCCGGGGTCACTGCTGCAGCACTGACCCTGCCCTGCCCAGCAGGATCCCCTCCCACTGCCACACTCCACTCAGTGTTTCCTTACTGTCCTTCCTTCTCCAGAAAACCAACCAAATTTACAGGAAAAAAAAAAAGCAGAATTTTAAATATCAGGAGAGTCATTGCAATGACCTTATCTAGAACTACACTCAGCCTTTTAACTGCTGATTACAAAGTATTTTTTAACCATGTGCTTCAAAGAAAACCGATTATTTTTACCTCCAAAGAACACACCCAAGCCCCACTTTTCTTTACATTTGCCATCAGTTTTGTTCACTAATATTTATATTTCTGCTTGATAATCAGGGAAACATCCAGAGTGTTTTGCCTGCACTTAGCAGTGCCTGCAGCGAGAGGGAGGCTGATTCCAACAAATTAAATAATGAAGCCCAAAAGCACAGCAGGGAAGGACTTTCTGGAACAGCACCAAGCCACTGTCAAGTGTTAGTGACAAGGATCTTTTAGCAGGAACAGGCAGCTGGGAGTTGTGAGGGAGCTGCTTGAACAGGAACAGCGTGACACTGGCAGGGCAGGGCTGAGCACTGGGAGCACATTTCTGACTGCTCTGATGGATGTGAGGCTGCAACTGGAGGCTGCAACCTGAGCTCTGCTTCCACCAATTCCTGCCTGCTGGGGCACTGCCACCTCTCCGAGGGTGGGGAGGCACAATCCTCAGGGCAGGCATGGAAAAACAGGGAGAGAACCCAGAGGAGCTGCAGCCCTACCTGACCTGTTTCGCAGACAATGAGACTAAAGAAAAAATCTGTCACATTAAAGTCATTAGTTGTCCTTACAGGGCTGTTACTTCCGTGTGATTTTCAGTCATTCCCGGAAAAAAAAAAAAAAAAAGCAAGATGTTTTATTTAGTGTCTAACTGCACAAAACAGCAGCTAAAAATAGGGATTTGTGCCAAGATTGTTCCTCTTGCAAGAGCTCCCTTTGGATTTGTCCCCAATGCTCTGAACTGACTGCTTCTAATGTGTAATGAAGATCTGTACAACAAAAGGAAGCTTGGGTTAAGGGAGCAAAATCCATGTTTTCAGGTCAAATGCTAAAGGCTGAGTCTTTCTCTGAAGCACAAAATGCAACTGCTGAATTATCTTCTGTGTTCACACTGGAGAATGTCTGGGCCAGCAAATGTCACAGTGTTACCAAGAGAGTTCAATGCAGAGAATGGAAACAATCCAGCTGAAATAAACACTGGGAAACGTTATTTCTTTGTTTATTTAGCAACCATAAAACTATCCATTGCAAATCTCATCAGGTTTGTGTCACTTTTCTTTCTAAGTTTTTTTGGTTTTTTTTACCTTTTACCAAGTCTTATCTCCCAGACAGAAGCAGGTAGAATGATCACTTCCTTCTTTAAACAGTGTTAAAAAGCTTCAAAATAACAGCAGAGCTTATTGGAATGGACACATGGAAACACAAGCTGAACATATATATATATATATATCACACTATAAGTATGTAAACATATTGAACCAAAAGTGGGAAAAAGCTTTCAGTTTTCCTTGTGGGCAAGAGGCAGAATTTTCAGGAGACTTCTAAAGCATTTAGAAATGTGCAGTTTATTGGCTCAGGCTCTAGGAAAATTGGGGGTTTTATTCTTTTAGTTATTGTTGCAGTGTCCTGATTGCAACCTGAGAACACACAGGGACCCCAGCATGGCATCAATGCCATCTCCTCCCAGAAGTGTGAGATAAATAAACACCTGTGTCCCTCAGGTGACAGATCTGGGGACCAAAAAGCTGCCACTAGAAGTGGGGAGAGCAGCCAAGGGCTGTCACTGATCCAGTGTCCTGAGTGATCCCTTACAAAGTGCAGCACTGAAGGTTTGTAGGCTGAAAAGGTGAAGTCCCAAACCCAGCTGTGGGGTTTGGAGCTGTACCAGAACAAGTTCTTTGTGACATTACTGTCAAAGGCCATCTTCAGGCCAAAAAGTGGTAAATTTATTAAATACTGTCACCTTTTAGAAACCACCAGGAGCAGCTGAACAGCTTTTGTGCTTTGAACTCCCTGACACCAAGTCCTGCTCTGGGACTTGCAGACACTGGAACTGCTCCTGCTGGAGTTTGAGCAGCCCATGAAACCCTCCCCACCTGCCTGGAGCCCCCAGGCAAGCCAAGAGAAGCGTACAAACCTCAGCCCCGCCAGGGAGCTTCACCTTCACCAGGGCTTTGTTCTGCAGGACTGGAGCCTGTCCCAGCCCAACACACAGGATGTGCTGCTGATGCTCAATGGAAACAGCTGGGGATGGATGAGGAAGGGTCAGATGAGAGATACCAAAATGTCAGACAGCCTACCGACTGTTGTTGCCATGAGATCCAACAGTCAACATCAGTCTGATAAGCTATCCGACAGGATGGTACAGCCATGGCACTGCCAACACCACGGGCTCCAACCAGCACAGCACAGCACAGCATGGCACAGCTCAGCACTCCTGCCCAGCCCTGCCTCACTGCCCAGCCAGCAGCCTGAGCTAAGCTGGGCTCTGGGCCACCTCCTGAGAATGCTCATTAGAAAGGTAAATTCATTCTTGGTGCTTTACCCCCCTAGGATAAAAACCAAAACCAAGTGATGAGAGCAGTGCAGGTACAGCAGCAGTGGGACTGAGGCACTGAAGAGGGAAAAGAGCCATTTGAGTATCAGTTCTGCTCCTGGACATCTGAACTGGCACACACTGATCATAACAAATCCGACTTTGAAAGCATGAGGGTAAAGGTTCTCTGAAGTTCTCTGCACTGGGTAGACACAAAATCTGCTTTCAGCTGGAATCTGAACTCTTCCCCCTCTCTTCTCCTCCACTGCCCACAGTTCTGGGCTCAGGGGCAAACACCTGAGCAGAATGTAAGATAACCAATCTTGTTCTCTATTTCACCTACTTAAGCACTGACTGTGCTTCAAGCAAGGCACAGCCTTCCTCCTCCCTCTGCTAAGCAAAAAGTTCTAAAGAAAAAAGAACAAAACAAAAAAGAACAAAGGGTTTGAGCACCATTAGTGCAGGAAGGATGAGCAAACATGCACAGAGCATCCAAAAGTGAGAGAGAGAGAGGAAAAGAAACAGCTTAAAAAGACTGACACAAGAAATTCTGGAATGATCATAAGATGACTTTTATAAAGTTTTTATCTTAACTTCATTCTAAATATACAGAATAAAAAATGTTTGCTTCAGCATTTTGACATCAACCATCTCTGCTAACATCATGAAGTTGGAGAGGGTGGCTTTTCCAGCGTGCAATGCAATGGGACACTGGGAATTCAGACAGAACAGCCTTACCATGAGGGACATGCAACAGATTGTACCCGACCTGTACTCAATTATTTACATTGTCATGGTCTTGAAAGTTATGGGAAAAGCAAACCAGCCACCCTTCAAAAGAAAACGTTACCCTCAGGTGAGTCTGTAGTTAAATCAGGAGATGGGGAGTATTAAATCATCAGTTTTGGAAGTAATTTGGATGGGCAACATTTGTGTTAAACTCCCTTTAACATCCCATCCTGTAAAACACAACCCAGACTCGTGAAGCATTCACACCTTACCGTAATTATCAGTTTGTCAATGAAACCGTTGCTCTAATATCCAAATTACTTTCAAAATCAAACAAACAAAAAAAAAAACCAACTTGTTAACAGTTGAAAATTGATGTTAAAATTTTTCCCCCTTATGAATAATGCTGTTTTTTAAACATATGAAAAATTGTGTCATTTCTCGTGTCTGCCAAAACCCATCCTGAGGGTTTTTTCCCATTTTTTCCAAGCTCATTTGGTTTTTTCTTCCGAGTACATCTTCTGTTGCAGTCGCTTGGCATAGCTCTGGGCCATGGAGTTGATAATAGATAAGATAAAATAACAAACCATGACAATCACCAATTTTTCAAATATCCAGGATAGCCAGTTTTCCCCCTGAAGAGACAAAACAGAAGGAGGAGGAGAACGAAGATTAGTGGACAAGAACACGGAGAGTTCTGGCTGGAAGGGGAAAGCCTGACCGTGTCTTTATTCTGCAATTAATCAAATTAAAAGCAGGAACCAAGTGCGAGCCGACAGGATTCCTGCAGGTCCCTCTGCAAAGCCGACTTTAGTCCCTCGAAAGACAATGCAGGAGGGGCTGCCAAACCCTCTGGCGGGCAGATGCCGAGTCCCTGATCAATCCCTGTGCTCCCAAAGTGATTTATTATTCCCAGTATTGTCTGGGCTTCCTTAACAATTCGTGGAGCTCAGAATTAGCAGCCCCTGCCTGTCACTCCCTGCTCCTCGAGAAGGAATCAGGTTGTTGGTTAATAATGGGTTTTTTTTTTCCCCTAAATTGCCTTTTCTGGGTTATCTCCACTCTTTGGTGGCCCTGAAGTCCCGGAGCCACTTGCAGCGTTTTACCGACGGGAATTTAAAGCTGTGCTTTTAGCCAAAGGAGGGCAGCAAAGCCCAGCTCAGCGCTCCTGGCTCCAGGCACAGCCTCCCCAGCTGCGGCTCTTTTGTGGTAACAAACGGGCAAAGGGATCTTTCCAACAGCTCCGAGTTCTGCACGTGGAATGTCAGCATGGATTTCACCTCAAAACGCCTCAGCAGCCTCAAGAATTTCATGTCAAAGCTGCTCTGTCCCACTGAAAATTCAGGGCAAGTTTTGAAAAAATTTTAAATACTTTTTTCTGTATCAAAGGACACCTCTGCCCCATGTACCTGCCCCGAAAACTGGAATTTCTTTTCCTTTCAAAGACTAAAGGCTTGGGGATTTTAATTCCCTTACTGCCCACAGAGCCACAGATCCCACTGGATTCTGAAGCATCGGTGCTGCCCAGTTTGTTACCATTTCACGTGGAAAGGCAACTTTTCTCCTTAAATTTAACTTTCCAAAGAAGCACCTAATGCAGAGGGGCAAGACAAGCCACCGGTTTTAATTTATACTTTGATTTTTTCTCTAAAAAATTTAAATCCAGTAGCACACAATTAATATTTTTAATTCCCAGGTTGCTTTTAAAATGAGATTTTTATCTATTCCCTGGGTCAGTGCAGATGTTTGAGGAACAGAATGGGGAGTTATGTTTGTAAATCTACAAGTGTAAGGCAGGCAGGGAAGGGAAAAGCCGGGGAGGGAGGCAAAGAGATTCTTACCTGTGGCACAGAACTGTCGGATTTGTGGTGAAGTTTTATCCTCTGAGCTTCCAAATATTCTTGAAATGGCTTCTGAAGAGAAGGACCTATACTCGGAATAGCACTGATGGAAAGTTCATCCCAGAGAGCAAGAAGACAAAATAGAGGAGAAAAAAAACGGAAAAAACATTTTTTTTTTTAACTTACCACTTTACCTAATCAGAGCAAAGTTCAGGCTGAGCCGCAGCTCAGCAGAGAACTCGAAGCTACTCGAGAAAACAGAAACGCACGAAATAAAATCGCATTTCATCTTTTGATCTGATATTTCGGGAGGGATGCATTATCCCCAGATCCTCAAAAAGTGCTTAAAAAGAAAAATCTTTCTGAGCGAGGCAGCGCTGTGAGGAGAGGAGGAAGCCGAGAGCCGGAGCATTTCCTGGGAGGCAGCAGCGCCGAGAACCCAATGAATGACTTCGGAGAAGTCCCACATTTATCAGCGGCAGTTCCTGTAAGAACTGGTTTGAACCGATTAATGAGGAAATGACTGGGGCTTGTGTCATCCCTCGGTTAAAAAAGAAACTGCTCGCCCAGGCCTCGCCCCTCTCCCTCACGGAGCCGGCCCCTCTGCCCGGCCAAGTCCTTTTTAGGACAAGCCGTGCGTCATCCCGGCCCCAAAAGAATGCGGGAGCGATCCTGGAGCGCCTCCCCCGAGCCGGGATTAACAAAGGAACAAAGGAGCGGCCCCGAGCCCGAGCCCCGAGCGCTGCCCCGGCTCCCCGGGCCCGCTCAAGCCCCGCTCCCAAGGCCGGGACCAGCCCGGGCTGAGAACGGCAGCGCTCGGCTCTCGGCAGCCTCCAGCCTTCCCAGCAGCTTTTCCTCAAATCCTGCTTAGCAGGAGACACAAAACCCTGTAAGGGTGGTCACAACCCTTCAAAATCTCTCCAAATTCAAGCATAAATTCGAAATGACCAGCAGCAGCCCCACGGCCTGAGCTGTGAGGGGAGAGCATTCCCAAAGTCGGATCCACCCATCCTAACCCCAGCACGGGGCAGTTCTCACTACTGACCACCTCAACTGCAAAGAGAAGGGAGATTCTGATTTTTGTTTAATTTTAAAGAAATCTACATTACACATTATCATACACCTGGTCTACATTAAAAAAAACTCACTTAAATTTTGATTATTTGATTTTATTATACCCACTACTCCTGCTGCTACTCCAGCAGGAGTAGTGGGTATAATACCCACTACTAATAATACTAAACCCAGGGAGGTTTATAATAATAATACTAAACCCAGGGAGGGTTTAGTAAAACCCTCAGACCCAAGGAACACCGGGTGTACATCCAAGGACTTGTGGAATTGCTCATCTCCCTCCCCGTGGCTCAAACCCTTCCCCTCAGCCTCCTGCTCTGACACCATATTCTCCTTTCCAGGCCGAAGCCCAATTAAAAAATAACAGCTTTCTAATTTTAGGAATTTATGAAAAGCACGAAACAAAGTGTCTCATTCTCCTCCAGTAAATCTATTTATTTCCTTCATGGCCGGGGGCAAAGGAGGTTTTTTGAACCCATTTCCCAGCAAAAGGTCGTTTCCCTCGTGATTCACCGCCGGGTGAGGAAATTCTGTGCCCGGACTGGTAAAAATTCTGGGAAAAAACCAAAAACCCTGTGGTGCCCCAAGCACGTCCCTTATCCATTTTACACAAGACGTGTCAATGTTCCAGAGGATTCCAATGATCCAGAGGTGTCTCAGCACTGCCCTTTCCTGGGAAAAGCTCTCCCAGGGCCCGCGGGACGAGTCACGCCTGGAACATGAGCGACATTTTGAGGTTTCTTTTCTTTCTCACCCAATCCTTGGGAGGCCTGAGCAGCGACTGCAAGGTAATGGTTTACTTTTGAACTTCTGCATGATTATGAAATGAGGAATATTTAAATGGTGAGGGATCAATGATTAACAGGGTGGTGTTGGAATGACTCCGTTGCTCACCGAAAACTGAACTCGGTCAGTCCCCAAATCGAATTAAACACAAAACAAAGACATGAAACCAAAGAATCCTGGTGCATCAAAACAATATTTCAAAAAATTTCTCACTAAATAATTCACTTTTTATTTCCTTTTCTGGGCACGACTATTTGTTAAGTGCACAAAATTAATTTTATCAAAGCCATTTTGAAGAACTGCAAGATCCTAAATGCAAGGACCTCAGCTCCTATTTTTGGTACATTTGTAAAGATTTTAATTCTGAAAAAAAAATGTCCACAGATTTAAATAAGGAGTAAAAAATAAGCAGAGGAAAACCTAGAAAATCAGGGATCCACATGAAATTCTTGAAATCCCATCTGGGCAGCACAGTGTTGGTTACTGGTGCTTTTTTGGAAAAAAATAAATAATTTAATCACCTATTTATGTGCCACCTGATATCCAAAGGCATAATCTTAAATCTAAAAATCTTTAAACGAATTTAATTTTATTTCAGTGAGTTCTGTGTCCCTGCAAAGCTCACAAATCCAACTCAGAGATCCCTCGGTGTGACCTTTGGAGGGGGAATTTGGGATGAATTTTGTGGGATCCGGGTGGGACCAGGCAGGGCCAGATTTGCATCACAATTCCTGCACTCAGCACCTCCAAAAAATTTCCCAGCACTGCAGCAGGAAGATGCTGGAAGATAACCCCCGAATAATCCAAACCAAATTTCCTGGTGTTCCTTCGGCAATCAACCCCGTTTTCTTTCAAACCCAGGACATGAAGGAGAAATTCAGATTGAGAAGCTGTTTTCATCCAAAAGTTGTTTTAGAAACTCTTAATGTTAAATATTCAATTTTTGTTTGGGTTCATCCTGATTCTTTGCTAAATTTTAATGTTTGACAAGGCATTGAAAGTGAGAACAGGCTCCCCAAAACTGCAGCAGCCTTTATAATCCTTAATTCACTGAAATTGTAACATTTTAGTCAAAACCATTATTTCTGTTCTAATACTACAACAGAAACACCCATAAAAAATTGGATTCACTGAAAAACCACTCTTGGTGCCTGTTTTCAGAACAATTACCTGGTATTTGTAATCAATCCGATGCACTTTTAAATTTTTTAAACTCAGAGCTACAATTTCTATCCAAAAGACAAATTCTAAAGCTCTTTTTCCAATAAATAAAACAAAACTCTCCAACATGACAGAGATTCAGCAAAGTTGCTCGAGGAATATTTTAAAAATTACACCATGAACCTGCGGAGTCTGACTCCAAAAACTTCCAGCCCAGTTACAGCAAATTTGAGTTTAAATTTATTGATTTGCTTTTCCAAGAACAACTGTCAGCAGTTGCACCTCAAATGCCTTTCACTGGTCATTAAATGATTTTGGGGTAACTTTAAATCTTTTTAGCAGAACCTTTGGAACTACAGGAAGACACCAGCATGAAGCACCAACACCAACAGAACCTTTGGAACTACAGGAAGATTTTTCTGCAAGACACCAGCATGAAGCACCAACACCAGAGGAGAAAAAAATTGTATTTTCCCTGGGCCAGCTTACAAAAAGTAGGAAGTTGTTTGATATTCGTCATCTGCATTTTTACTAATATTAAAAATACTTATTTATAACGATTTAATAATGATATTTGCATTTCTGAAAGGCATAATTTTCATCCTACAAGGTCTTTAGGAGCATGGGATGCTCCTGAGTGATTGAAATCTCTCAGCCTGTGCTTTGAGAGGTTGGGAACACTCAGGGAATTAATTCCAACTCTGCTAAATCCTCAAGTACAGGTCCCTATCAAATGCTGTGTCAGTGCTATTGCACCAATATCTCACAAAAGATCTGTCACACCATAAATTAGAATATAAAAGTCCAATTTTACCGAAGTATATGTGGATATTTGTTCACTTTTCCAGGGAGAAATGTTGGAATTCCCAAGTATTTTCCAAAAAAAAATGAAGAAGCTGCCACTGTAGACTCAAATTTTGGGAATAAAATGGGATTTTTCATGAGTGAAAATTTGAAAGTTTATGGAAGTTTCCCATTTATTAGAGCCTCAAACACCAAGTGATGCTGAAGCAGCTGATTAATAACCCTGAGCTGTTCTCAAACTGATCCTGACGGGATTGAAAATGGAAATGAGAACCTCAGAGCAGCCAGTGAGCCCTGAGAGCAACTGGGATCCATCCCAGTGGGATGCTCAGGAAACTGGGAGCACTGGGGGGGGTCACAAACATGGGAGTTAATATTTAACTTAATTTAATTTAATTTAATCACAGGAATTCTGACCTGGAGGGAAAGCAGAGCCCCTGGGGGAGCAGAAGGTGCAAACGAGGCTGGACACACCTGGGGAAGGTGATGCAATATTGAGTCAGGCTCCACTTTATGGATCATCCCTCCAATATTCACAGCCCTCAGCTTGGAAAATCCCTCTGACTCCACACACTGGGGCAAACACCAGCAGGTTTTGCCCAGATTCAGCTTTTTGGGCTGAAACATCCAGAGAAAAAGATCCTTTGGGAACGGCAGCACAGTTGCAAAGGAAGAACACAGGGAAGAGCTCTGACACAGGAGCAGCAAATCCCCGGGGGCCTGGCACTGCCCAAGGCCAGGGATTATCTCCTGGTGCAGAAAAGGGAGGAAAGAGGCACTGCAGGATCCCACAAAGAAAGGGAACGTGCTGGGATGGGCTCCTCCCTGCCCGGACCTTCAGCTCTTTTCAAATAATTTATTTCAACTGGATTATTGACAGCCAGGCCAGAGGGGGAAGGCAAAGGCTTTCACCTTGCCAGCATTTATGGACAACACCACTGAACAATCCCACCAACAGCACCTGTATGAGATTCCCATTTCTCAATTTCCCTGGGAGAACGCAAGAAAAATCCATCCTGCAGCTTCAGAACAATAAAACATTCAGGAACAGGCACTGGATTTGGGGATTTTAGTATTTAGGGTATTTTAGCCACCCCTCCCTCAAAAATTTCACTCCAGCACGGTGGCATAGATTTCTTTGGGAGTCAGATATTTGAAAATCATTGCAAAACAGATTCCAGTGGAAATATGTTTATGCCACTGGCCAATTAGCAAAGCTGATTCATTTGCATAACGTGTCCTTTGTCTCAACAGGGCACCTTTCTTCTCCTGAGCCCTCTGAGCCTTCAATGGTTAATTTTTTTCCAGACAGTGATCTAAACTGGCTCAACGGTTAGTATTTTAATGAGCTGTCATTTCCTGTGCTGATAAAGATTCTCACAGTATTTAAACCATCCACTTCCCCGAGGCTCCACCACCAGCAGGACCCTGCAGTGACTCACAGGGGCTCAGCCTGAGCCTGACTCAGCCCTGGGAGCTGGGGCTGCCCAAAACCTGGCTTAGGCTTAGGGAAACTTGGAGCTGCCCAAAACCTGGCTTAGGCTTAGGGAAACCTGGGGCTGGGGCTGCTCAAAACTTGGTTTAGGGAAACTTGGAGCTGCCCAAAACCTGGCTTAGGCTTAGGGAAACCTGGGGCTGGGGCTGCTCAAAACCTGGTTTAGGGAAACCTGGGGCTGCTCAAAATCTGGCTTAGGTTTAGGGAAACCTGGGGTTGGGGCTGCTCAAAATCTGGGTTAGGGAAACCTGGGGCTGCTCAAAATCTGGCTTAGGTTTAGGGAAACCTGGGGTTGGGGCTGCTCAAAACCTGAATCCTAGGAGCTGAGACTGCCCAAAACCTGGATTAGGTTTAAGGAAACCCAAGGCTGCCCAAAACCTGGATTAGGTTTAGGGAAACTTGCTACCCAAAACCTGAATCCTGGAGCTGAGGCTGCTCAAAAGCTGACTCCTGGGGTCTGGGGCTCCCCAAAGCTGGACCCAGCTCCCTTTCCAGCCAAACCTAAGGATCAAGCAGAGCCCCCAGCACCACCCCCAGCCCCAGCTCTGGGGCTGAGCTGCTCCCTGTGCCCAGAGCTCTGAAGTTGCAGAAAATAAATCTGGTTTATGGTCAGGTTTAACAGGAAGGTTTTGGAGTTAAAAGGCTCCCTGGCAGCTTCATTTGCTTTGTGAGATGAGGGAAGGAAAAGGAAAGGTCCTGCTGGAGGTTCCAAGGCTGAAATGGGCCTGGGTTTGACGTGGTTCACCTGAGCCACGTTCCAGTGGCCAGGGCAGCCCAGGAGGCTCCAGGGCTTTCTTCCTTGGGACATTCTGTTATGTTCCATCAGTGCTTTCAAAATTAGGAATTGCAACATCTCTGACCTGCCCGTCCTCAGCTCTGCTCACTGCTGCTCTTTGGAAGCAAACTTCTGCTTGCTTTTTAAAGATTCTTCTTTTTAAACTCAATTTAGGGAAAAAAACCTTTGCTTATTCAGTTAAATCCTTCAAGCCTTTTGCAAATAAACTCTTCTAATTCTGTTGTGATCCACTGGCAGGCTTTCAACACCAAAGCTCCTCAAATTTCAGCCACATCTGTGTCCCTTTCAGGGCAATAAAGCCATTTTTGTGTGGAGCTGCTCTGCTGTGCTCAGGACACATCCCCCAGGTTTCTGATGTGCTTGTGGCAGGGAGGTTGTTGAGTTTTGAACCAACAATATCCAGGGGATTGGTTTAACCTTCCCAAATTCCTCCCAGGAGGTTGTGAAGCCACTGCCCAGCTCTTCCCACCCCAGGAGAAGATTTCTGGTTGTCCCTTGATCACTTCTTGCCTTGTGTTCTAAAGAAATAACCTCCACCTGTATTGTAAATTATTTTTGACTAAAAAAAAAAACCCCAACAATCTTTAAGCAAACTTTCCAGTTACCTCAGTCACCATGATCTCATTTGTGCTTTTTTGGTGAAAGGAACACCACGCTCCCTTTACCAGCATCAACTGAGATTAAGCTGTAAGCAAAGAATTATGGCACAAGAAATAGCAGCAAACTGGTTTGTCCAGGCAAAGCTTCCAGTACCTGGGACCAAAAAAGTGCTTTTCTTTCAGTGTGCAATCACTCACACTGCCCTGCAGAGCTGGGAAGGAGGGAAAGCTGTTCCACAAAAACCACTGAGTTAGGGACACTTCAGGAGCACTGATATTTTTGGGTGGATTTCCCAGAGTTTGTTGGATTCTCAGAGGTAACACCCAAGAGAAGGGACTTAAAAATCAAAGTAGCAAAATCTCACTGGCTGTTTAACTCCAAATCAGTTATGCACTCAGTAATTAACTGAATAGATGAGTTTTCTAGAATTAAAAGGCAACTTTTTAGAATTAAGAAGGCTGTGGCTGCCCCATCCCTGAAGTGTCCCAGGCCAGGCTGGACGGGGAGCAGTGGGAGGTGAGGGGTGGGACTGGATGAGCTTCAGGATCCCTCCCAAACCATTCTGGGATTCTGATTGAAGTAGGAATTCACTGTTTCTGCTGTAGGATCCAGCCCTGGACCTGAGCTCCTCTTGCAGGAAGAATCCCAGACACTCCAGCCCAGGAGTTCATCATTAACCACAGCCAGAGGGAATCTGTGTGGGCAGGGTGGGATTTCTCCCTAAAAAAAAGTAGATTTTTTTTTTTCTTTCTGTCCATTTCCCACCAGAATGGATGGCCACAGTTGAGTGGATGCTGTGTGCTTTCAGAACTACTTCTTCAGTGGTTTTCTGGGAATTCTTAATGCACATTTAAAGCTGCCCCTTCCCAGAGAACATCACCCTGCTCTGGAGCACTCTGCAGGGTGGGACTTCACCAACAGCCCTGCAGCTGGAGGTAGAAAACAGGAACAGAAAGATGGAGGAGCCAAAAACCCCACAGCACACAAGGTAATGAAACAGTTGAATAAAATCAGCAGTAAACCCTTGCTGAAGTGACAGAACACAGAACTCCTCCAGAGCATCTTCCCCCAGCAAAGCCCAGGAGCTCCCTGGGGAGGGCAGGATCCTCTCCCTGCTCTGAGGCACCAAAAACCAGCCCAGGGCAGGAGCTGCCGGGACAGGCTGGCAACTCCCAGCCCCAGGGAGCTCCAGCACCTCTGGAAACCCTCCTCAGCTTGGATTTCCACCTCACACCATCCCCACTTCTCAAACTCACTTATCTCCCTCATTCCCAACAAGGTTTGTTCCAAAAAATTCTACAAAAATTTAAAATTTTCTGTAAACAGCTTATTCATTTCCTGCCATGTTTTCTTTTTTTTTTTAAATTTAATGCCTAGAAAAACTATTTTATGTTCTGTTTGTAATGGAGACCTAGACAAAACTGTAAAATCAAATTAAATGATATTAAATGCCTGGTTACAGCAGGCTCAGTGAGGGACCCAGCAGCACCCAGTGACAATAAAGAACAAGGTCTGCACATGAATCAGTTTTGCTTTTTGACTAAAAATCACCAAATTGTCAAGAAATTCTCCCTGGCTTATAAAATCAGATCTTCTCAGACTTTATCTCAAAACTTAATCTTCTGTCTAGGTTCCACTTACCCTGGGTATCAGTGTGTTCATTATTTTCAGGTATTGTGCTCAGCTATTTCCTATTGTTTAAGAGCAACAGCCCTGACAAAGAAAGTCTAAAAGTCATTGTGGTGGATAGAATTTGATTAAAATGAAGTTACTGACCATTAAACAGAGCTCTGTTTTAATTCAATAATAGGGCTTTTAGAGCAAGGTATTGTTTAACATGTTTGAGGCTCCCCTCTAACAGAAATTGATGAGGTAATGCTGGAGACAGCTTGAGAAAAGTCAAGGGTACCAGGACATTCCAAAAATCTCACTGTCTCCCAGGAACATTTTTTAACTCTGACATCAACCCTCCAATAAAACCCGAGTCCAGCAGAGCTCCTGTGAATGCACTCGAAGTAATTCCATGCAAAATTATCTCCAAGACAGATGAAGTAGGAAAAATCTACTGGGTTTGGCTCAAAGCATCCACAGGAGAGTAAATCCTTGGAAAGGTACCTGAGCTGGGGGCAGATCAAACTGTCTGCAGCAGATTGATGCTGAGAAAAACTCAAGATGCTTAAAAGAAACCACATTTCTCTCTCTCTCCCCTCCTTTTTTAAAATAATGTTCACAGCAACAAATGAAATTTGAGTTCTGGAAGAGAGCAGAGGCTTGACGAGCAGATCAGGAATAATAAAACCAGGATTTGTTTCAACCCTGCAAGGTTCTTCTGACACTCCTTTTCTTTGTACAGCATCACTGCTTGGAGTTTTGGTTTAAAAGGAATTATTTGCAGACATTCCTCCTCTGAAACTTTTCTTGAGGAGTGTGGTTTTTATATGATAATAGTTATTACACTTTGGGCAGCAAAATATCCATTTACCCCAGAGAAGAAACCTTGGAAAAGCAGGAATAATTTATTTTATGGATTTATATTAGGCTGGATTCATTTTAATTTAAGAAAACCCAAACCAAACCTTCTCAAAACAGGACACTCCATCCATTTCTACAGAATTTAATAGAATGGGGACCAAGCTCCACACACCAAATTTCTCATTCTGGTGTTTTATGAGTGATTTGATGTTGTAAATGTATAAGGTACTTCCAGTTAAGGAGGATGTTTATTGTCAACCTTGAACACTGCAAAAAATCTCAGGTTTTTAATATGGAACCACAGAATTCTCTGATTTTTTTTCCTATAAATACAATTTTCTATAAACATTCTCATTTTTTGCCATAGGATCCCACTACAGCACTGCAGAAAACCCAGGGCAGACATCCCATAAATGCAGGGATCTGGAAGTGGGGGAGCTGAATTTTGGTTTGGGGTGAAGCTGACCCACAACCCTGAGCCTCAGGGCCAGCAAAACCCTCCTGCAGTGTTTTCCACTTGATGGGTGCAGGTTTTAATTAATTACTGAGCTGGGAATTACTCACCCGATGAGGGCCACCATCTGCTCCACGATGTGTTTGCTGAAGGTGATGATGACAAAGAGTTTCTGTGGAAGGACAAGAGCAGTCACACAAAGCCTGGAGCCACTCTGTGCTCCTGCACAGCTTTCCCTCCTCTCCAATATTTCAATATTTTCAATATTTTAATTTTTTTTTTATTTTTCTCCTCAACAAAGAGGCAGGAGAGAAAAAAAAAAAAAAAAGCTGCTCACTTTCGGCCCGTTTTTGCTCACAGTTTGCATTTCTTGCTGCCCATTCTCATCCTCCCCAAACTCCCATTCCCAGAAGCTCAAGGTCACTTTACTCCATCAACAATGTCAGAATGGAAAAACAGCCAGAGAAATTCACAGCCCCTCACACAAACAGGATAACAGAAGGGAAAATAATGTGGTTTAGTCCCCCTGATTCAGACAGAAACAGCAAAAAAAAGAAAAAAAAAAAAAAAAAAAGAGCAGGCCGGCACCTGTGATAGAACAGAATAATCACAGTCCCTAATAATCACAGTTCTAAGCTTAATCCAAAATGTATCCAAAAATCTCTTCATAAAAACAATTTAGTGAGTCCTAAGCCTCATCCAAAATGTATCCAAAAATCTCTTCATAAAAACAATTTAGCACAGTAATATTAAATATGAAAATCTAACCTAGCAAGTTTTGCCCCTAAATAAAAATCAAACCTGTACCCATGAAGCTGTAATTCCAAATATAATATTTAATCACATTAAAAACTATTCAACACATTAAAAGACAAACTTCCAATACAATTTCAACCTTACAAGAAAAAAAGGCCATGATTTATCTAATAAAATTTTACAAAACAGAATAACTCTTAATTTCCTGCTAACCACAGAATCATTAATACTTAAGTAAATCAGAATGCAAAAATGAAATGGAATTGGCATAATTTTAGGAAGGTAACAGAAAAGGAGTCCCAGGATGGCCACTGCACCAGTCACTCACTTCCTGTCTGAACATTGCATTAAAAGCCTTTTCCATGACTCTCACATTGCCTAAATTCCAAGTCCAGCCAGATCACTCCAAAAAATCAAGATTATTGCACAAGGGTGTGCTTGAAAAAGAGAATTCTAAAAGCTGAGCCTATTACAAAATCAAATGATTTATCAACTGTACAAGTCACTGGGAAATGTTTTTTCACTTACATGGGATGTGAGTGTGGAGCACTATAAATTACACAGCAAGCACTGTGGTAGCTGAACAAGGCAATTAAAATAATAAGAGGAATATTGATCTAATATTATTTCACTTTTCTGTGCTGCCAGAACACATTTTAGCAACACACGGATTTAAAAGCAGAAGAAAACTCAGATATTACAAAAATAAGTGTGGTGAAAAAGCTGTTCTATCCCAAGAAATGGAAGAATTTCCAAATCTATTTATTGTTTTCTGCTTAAGCACTGGGCAAAATAAAATAACCATTTAAAAATGATGGGAAGAAAAAAGCTTGTGTTTAGAGCAAAATAAAGATTTTAAAGCAGCTTGATGAGGCTGCAACACAAATTATTTTCTACTAAAAGCTTCTGCTGTTTTGATGGGAGTCACAGCAGAGATTTCCAAACAACAGAGTCAGAGGAGCTGCAAAAACCCAAACTCAGCTGAAAACATCCCAAACACAGACGTAGCTCCAGCCTGACCACACCAGCAAATCCCCCAGGGACTCCCAACTCCAGCTCTCCTCTGACCAGGGTGATGCATTTCCAAGAGAATTCCTTATTTTGTGCAAACAACTGCACTGTCAAACTCAGCACATCTGGCACTGCCCTTCCCCAGCGACCTGGGCCACCAAAGCAGCCCCAAAACTGCAGCAAATCCACCCAAAGTGGGCAAAGCAGGCCCAAAACTGCAGCAAATCCACCCAAAGTGGGCAAAGCAGCCCCAAAACTGCAGCAAATCCACCCAAAGTGGGCAAAGCAGCCCCAAAACTGCAGCAAATCCACCCAAAGTGGCAGGGCTCACTGGGGTTTTCTCACTGAGCTAAAAAAGTGCAAATGAGTGTGTTCACTGCTGGAGCCCTGGCAGTCTGGTAAAGGCTGTAGGTAAATACTTTGGCTAACCACCAATTTCCTGAGCGGGTCAGCAGCTATAAATTACTCACTTGCCTCAGTTTGGAGCAGCCCAGCAGCTCCTTTATTGTAAATCCCTTGCACCAAATTAATTTCCATTACTTCAAGTCGGGCAAAGAGACTGCAGGATTCATTCCCAAGTAACACAGTGGAACAGGCAGGGAAAGAATCAAAGGTCTCAAAGGTTTCAGCACTTGCCTGGATGTGCATTTTAATCACAGCTTTTCCAATCAAGGTTGCACCGAAGAAGGTCCAGAAGGGAACCAGAAAGTGGCCACAGGTTATCCCAGCCAGGTCAAACAGGGGGTTTGGGATCTGTGGAGTGCAAGAGAAAGAGGTTCATGAATTGCAGCACACATTGGATGGACAGGAACAAAACAGGGTCTGAAATTTTGAAAAATGAACAGTTTCCCCTTCTCCAACTTGATCCAGAACTCTTGTGTCTTAATAATTACAAAAATGTTGATGTCCCACCACATAACTTCAGTCTCTGGGATTCAGCTAGACAATGTCCCAGACAATTCCATTCTCAAGGTCCCTTCTTACCCCTGGATCCTGAAAAAAGCTAATGAAAAGTTTTCCATGTGAAATGCACAGAAACCACAGCAAATCCACCCAAAGTGGGCAAAGCAGCCCCAAAACTGCAGCAAATCCACCCAAAGTGAGCTGGCCCAGCCCGGCAGGGCTCACTGGGGTTTTCTCACTGAGCTAAAAAAGTGCAAATGAGTGTTTGTTACCAAAAAGGAGTTCACTGCTGGAGCCCTGGCAGTCTGGTAAAGGCTGTAGGTAAATACTTTGGCTAACCACCAATTTCCTGAGTGGGTCAGCAGCTATAAATTACTCACTTGCCTCAGTTTGGAGCAGCCCAGCAGCTCCTTTATTGTAAATCCTTTGCACCAAATTAATTTCCATTACTTCAAGTCGGGCAAAGAGACTGCAGGATTCATTCCCAAGTAACACAGTGGAACAGGCAGGGAAAGAATCAAAGGTCTCAAAGGTTTCAGCACTTGCCTGGATGTGCATTTTAATCACAGCTTTTCCAATCAAGGTTGCACCGAAGAAGGTCCAGAAGGGAACCAGAAAGTGGCCACAGGTTATCCCAGCCAGGTCAAACAGGGGGTTTGGGATCTGTGGAGTGCAAGAGAAAGAGGTTCATGAATTGCAGCACACATTGGATGGACAGGAACAAAACAGGGTCTGAAATTTTGAAAAATGAACAGTTTCCCCTTCTCCAACTTGATCCAGAACTCTTGTGTCTTAATAATTACAAAAATGTTGATGTCCCACCACATAACTTCAGTCTCTGGGATTCAGCTAGACAATGTCCCAGACAATTCCATTCTCAAGGTCCCTTCTTACCCCTGGATCCTGAAAAAAGCTAATGAAAAGTTTTCCATGTGAAATGCACAGAAACCACAGCAAAGCCATTCTGAGTGATTTATCAAATTTTCTCTCTGACAAGCACATCACTCTTGGAAGCCAGAGTTTCAACTGATCCCCAGTGATTTCCAGCTGAGAAACTACATTAAAAACTGGCATTTATAGTCATATGTATCCAGTTTAAAAACACTGATTAGATTTTATTAAGCATATGCATTTCATTTAAAATTAAAAGAATTTTTTATTATTATTAAACTGCTGGCCTGACTTTTGGTACTGTGATACTATCTGTAAAATATTTTTGAAATGAAATCAAGAAAGTGTCTGAATTCCAACCTTTCCCTCTCAGCCTGGAGCACAGGGGCAGTGTCTGAGCAGGGTCACTCCCAGGAGCAGTGTGGTACTGGGGTGACAAACTGCAGCACTGCTGGTGTTGTGTGACTTAAATAAAGAATTAAAGAGTGCAGATTGGCCAAGAATAAAGGACACTCTGCCACCAAGCCTGCAACCTGTGAGAACGGGCTGGACTGGATTGGAGAGCAGCAATTCAGATTTATGAGCAGCCACAGCAGCACCTGCAGAGGAAGAAATCTGAACTGGGACCCTGGGCAGGCTCCAGCTCCCCTCCCCAGGTGGGACAGGAGCTGTGGGCACAGGAGCTGGGCAATGACTGAGCCCAGAGCCTTCTGCTCCTGGCAGCCAGGGCTGCTCCAGGCTCTTCTGGGCTGGTTGCTCTCAGGGATTTTTGTTGGTTCACAGAATGTTTTAATCCCTGCAGAGTTTGGGGCAGGGGTGCTGTGGGTACAGCAAACCACGGGCAGAAATTACTCAGCACATCCCCAGCAAGGTTTTCTCTGTGCTTCTTACTCAAAGTTGCCAAAAAAAAGGCCACAAAAACAAGAGGGTAAATTCTCACAAGTCACAGTGAGGAACTTCAGGGCTGATTCTTGCTTTGTTCCTCGCCCAGAGCTGCCTTTATATAGAAATAAACTCCAGACAATCCTGACTTCCTTATTGCCACTAAACAACATGACAGTCAGTTGACTTCACTGGATAAGCTTGCAGAATTTTAATTTCCATTTGCTGGTGTTTTTATGCAGCATTTAGAAGCCACCACTTGAGAGACAAGGACCCACAGCTGGGACAGTCATTACCACTTCACCAGCAAATTCTCCACTCATAAAATACACATCAAATAAAACTGCCTAAAATCCAGAAGGAAGATCACAATTACAGGGGAGGCAAGCAGAGGAGACACCTGGAAGAGCAGAGAGCAGCAAAGAGAAGCCCCTGGGCTGGTGGGGGCACAGCCAAATGCAAGGAGCACACTTGGGGGCTGCTTTCCTTCCCTGGCTCACCCAGAGGTGCCACACAGAGGGACAGCTCTGCATTCCTGCTTTTCCAAGGCCTCTGGAACCTTCCACCTCTCCCTTCCTCCTGCAGCTGTTGTGTGAGCACATTTCCAAAGGCCAGGTGTGCCCTGGTGGATGCTCATCCCTCCCCCAGCCCAGCTGCAGCTCAGGGCTGAGCAGGGCCTGGGCAGCAAAGTGGGGAAGAAGTTAAACAAATGTTTAAATATCACTGAGCAGGAACTCTAGGGTGTTTGTTTACCAACCCCTTCCTCCTGCCCTCCACTCCTCCACCTTGCCCAGTTCTTCATCCCTGCCAGCTCCAAGCTGTGCTGGTGACAAGGACAGGGAATAGCTGGGGCAGGGATGTGTGCCAGGACTGAGGCAGAGCAGGGAGCAGCTCCTGAGAGGATTTAGGGAGCAGCTTGTAGCCTAAACTCCACTCCAAACATGAAGACATTTCTAAGGATTAGTGAGCTTTATGTCAGCAGCTCTGATCAGATTAATTCTAATACAGGTTACCCACAACTGAGCAAGCAGTTGGCTGTGTCATCTTTACAGTTTAGGAAAGCAAGAGATGCTGGACAAGTGTGGAGTGAAAGCCTCGGACTGGGTAATGTTGTGGTTATTCCAGAAAAATGGGATTGGTGGGGGTCCCACACACTGCAATCACACCCCACAGCTTGTGTGTGGGATGAAAACAAAGCACACCACTCCTACCAGCTCCAGAGAGAGAGTTAAACCTCCAACATTATTTTTTTATTCTGAAAGAAGAGCATAAAAAACTAAAATAGAATCACTGGAGATGCTCCTTTCACCTCTTGATTAAAAAAGCCATGAGCAGTTTGTAGCTCCACAGCCACAATTGAAATTTGCTTCCTTTTTTTTGCCTTTCTGGTTTCTAATGACCCAAAGAGCAGATTTGGGAGGACTGGAAGGGATGGATGGACACCCTAATCAGGATTTCTCCTGGGACTTTTCCACTCTCCAATCCATGCACGCCTCTGGATTTGAGGATGTCAAGAATGTCAAATACAACACATCAACACCTAAAGAAATCCTAACACAATTCCAGCAGATTTTGTGCCCATAAATCCCCCATTTCCTGGGAAAACTCACCGAGGCACAGGCCAGGATCCCAAAGAACCCAACCTTCTGCACCAGGTTCTGCACAGCCAGCTTCGCCCGGGAAGCAAAGTCCTGCAAACAGAAAAACCAAATTATTCATGAGGAAACCCACCTGAACAGAGCTCGGGAGGTGTGTGATCTCCAGCATTTCCCAACTGGCAGCTGGGAGAGATTTTAAAGCAGAAAGGCCAGTTTGAAACCCTGGAGTTTAGAGGGACAATCGTGGTGGAAATCTGAGTTTTGTTTTTCCACACCCTGTGAGTGGCACTGAGCTGCCACTGCTATGGAAACAGCATATTTATTATTTCCCACTATTTATTTCCCCATATCTTTGGAATGCCAGTGCTGCTTATACCTATTCCTTAAACAAGCAGAGGGAATGAATTCCTCCAATGCCATTTCCAGGGGTAAAAAGGAACTTTCTGAGGACAAAAAAAGCACAATAATCCCATTATATCCTCAGATCTGATCTCCCAAACCCAGGATCTCCATCAAAATTGCCAATTCCAGGCATTGCCTACAACAGACTTGTAAAATTCATTAAAATCCAGAAAGTTGAGCCTAAATTACTTTAAAAGCAGGGGAGGTGCAGCCCCTGTGGCTGGAGCTGTTCTGCACTAAGCTGCCTCCTCCTTTTATTTTGTGATCAGTCCTTAGTCCTGAGGCTCAGAATTTGCCAAACACCCAGGAAACCCCTCAAAAAGCAAAAATAAAGATTCTCACGAGTAGTTTCTTTGCATGTGAGAAGGGAATTTACAGGAGATAAAATTATTTTGAAGCAAAACTGCCCAGAAAAATAAAAGCAAGGTCAGTGCTCCCTGCTCAGGCTTGGCCACAACAGTTCCAAAAAGCTGGGAATCCTTGGGAATAGCAAACATTAAAAAATAATTACCCATTCCTTTTTAAAAACCTACAAATAAGCAATAAAATTCTGATTTTCCAGGAGCAATGCAATAAATACCCAAGGAAATTACTTTAATCAATAATTAATGATATTCTAAATTCCATCCTTTACTATTGAATTGTAGAATTTAGAATATCATTAATTATTGATTAAAGCAACTGCAGGGTAATCCAGAAAAATTACATGTATGCAATTTGAACTCAGTTCTGTTGAAACCTTAAACGCTACACACCAAAGAAAGAAAACTACAATTATTTTACAATGTTCTTGTATATTATTTAAATTCTGAGCTGTAGAATTGACAGCATTTTCTGTTGCAGATTAAAAAATAATAGATCTGTGATGAGACCATTTGCTTCTTTTTACAGCCCTTTTTCAAGTAACTTTTCTCCAATACTGTACTTTCAAACAGTTAAATTCCCTATCTGAAAACTAAAAAAAAAACAAAAAAAAAACCCAAAAAAGCTTTCAAACAGTTAAATTCCCTATTTGAAAACTAAAAAAAAAAAAAAACAAAAAAAAAACCCAAAAAACAATTATTGCTCAAGTCAGAATAATTCTATTTATTGTATTTAATGCATGGAAAAATAACTCAAATTAAAACTGTAAGAAAAATACCAAAGAAATGAGATTTCCTAAATCTTTCAGTAGGACATTTTTAACCACAGGGGAATATAAACCCCCTCTAGAATACCCTATAAAGGTGAATTTCCACACTTTGACCAAGAGTTATACCTTGGGCTCACGATTACAAAATGGAAGAGATCAAAATTCACTTTTTAAATGAAAATTTTCCCTGATATTTGTAGGATCCCCCCAGAACACGAGGGATTTAACCTGCCCCCAGTGAGGCTGACACCAAACCCTTAAGTTTATTCTGACAGGAAACAATCTGGAAAGCAAAACCTTTTTTTTTTTTTTTCATTAAAAGAGCGAATTTTGACACAAATTGTTCTAAACAACAAAACACAACAATTTCCTGACGACCAAGCCCAAAATTCTTGCGACATCCAGGGCAGTTCCTGCTGCAGCCCCAAATTCCCTCGTGGTTATTTCCAAGGAAACAGAACCCAAAAAGGGGATCCCTGCTCCAGTGGGACCCTCAGCATTTGGGATGGAAGGAATAAAATACCCTTTTATTTGTATTTTATAAAAATACCCTTTTATTTGATTTATTTCTAGGATTTTCCCCAAGGAAAACAACACCTCTCCAATTCCCCAGGCAAACACGCAGTGAAAAGCAGTTTTTTAGGATTCTTTATAAATTCCTTTAACACCAAAAGGTGCTGAAGCAGATTTTGTCCTTGGGAAAGGTGTCCTGAAATGGTTCCCTCCTCAGGGATTTCTGGAGCAGAGCTCACTGTGCCCATTTTCAGCTCCTATTTCCCCCCATTTCCCAAAGCTCACGGGCTTGCAGCAATATTTTCATTTTTATAAGCCAATAAATATCTTTTCCCTCTCAGTTCCATAAATCTGATAACAAAGTATCTTGAAAATAAAACACTCCAAGACAATTATTCAAATGGCTTCATGATTTATTTGCATGGAAGTTGTTTCTATTCTGATTTTAATTTATTCCCCCATTATCTTTTACTGTGTTGCTAATGCACTGCTGTATTCATTTTCACAAGCTGGAATTGGAAATAAACTCTCTAGAAAATGACCTATAAACTAATACTTGCAGCACAGCTGCTTTAATAAAATATATTATTATAATTAGATATAAATTGACTGTATTAACTTAGGGCAAAGTGGACAATTTTTAACCAAATTTCTTAAAAAGAACCAGTTTTCCTCACCCACATTTTTCAACTACAAAATTCAAGGCTGTCTTGAAACTAATATTTTCCCTCTAGCTAAAAACATATAAAACATTAAAAAGCTAATAATGAAGGTCTTTAAAAAAAGTTTAACAAGTTGTCTCAAAAAAAAAAAAAAACCAAACCAAAACCAATATTGGAGCAAATTTTCTCCCCTTGTTAATTCATAACTTTATTTTTTAAGTTATTACTCAGCTTGTTTCTTTGTTAAGTTTTCGTTTTACATTGTCTATCACAAAGTACTTCATGGAAAGCAAAATTTTAAATTCTAAAAATTTCACTCAAGAACTTGTCAGTGGTCTTCCTTTTTCCCAAATTTTCTAAATTAGTCAAAAGACAATTTGAAGATTTTTTGTACCTGTTTTCTGTGATCTAATGTAATCAATGCCATTAATAATTTGCAGGGTAATAAACCTACCAGGGCTGCAACAAAACTATGAATTCCAGCCTCAACATTTACTCTGTGAAAACAAGTTCAGAACTATTTCTCTTTGGTTCCTTCCTTAAATTTTGTTTGACAAACCTTTGCGACATCTGCAACAATAAAAAAGCCTTACAAGTTTCATTTCTCTGAGAATACAATCCCCAGTTTTACAACTTTTACCTCTTTCACAACAGAATTTTTTTTTCTTTTCTAAAACCTGCACGGGGAACAATCTTTTCTCTATTTTTTTTTTTTTAGCATTTGAAATAAAATAACTTTCATAAATTACTGCTTTAAAAATAATATTTATATATATATATATATATGAAAAGAGACAAAAGTTCAGCTACTTACAGGCAAACCATTTTCCCCCCAAATTAAAGTTTCTAGACTGGACTGGCCTCTCAGCTAATTGTGATTCATTCTTTATAACATTTCAGGATGCTTTAGCTCACTGTGTCCTTTTCAAAGATGATTTATTTTTTGGGGTTTGGAAATAGATTTCCTGTGAGTGCCCCAGAGCAGGCAGAGGAAGGTTAAATGATTAAAGATGACTTCATTGGGTTAATCATCACATCCCAAGCACGGGGCTGGGGCAGAGCAGGGAAAGGTCAGGGATGATTCCCCAGGCCCAGCTCGGGCTGGGGGAACTGTCCTGGGTCTGCTCAGCCCCAGCTAAAGGGAATTTTTCATCATTTCGTTCACCCCACTGGCTCCAAAAAACCCTCCCAAAGTTTCAACCTAAAGGGGTGGCAAGGAGAGTTTAGATGTTCTGCCTCAGTGTTCCTCCCTGTGTAAATATGGGCCTTTTATCCCTGGAAAATCCTTCCTGAAACCTTAAGTTACAAAGTTTTGCCCCATCCCTCTGTTTTATTTGGTTTCCATTTATAATTTAATCTCTCTCTTCTTTCTCCTCTCACTGTGAAGTTGGTGAGCTCCTCAATGTGAGGGAAGAACAAGCACCTCACCAGATTTAATTAACAAGCTGGAGGAAAAAATAATTTTAATACTTTTTTTCCCCCTCTTTTCCCTCTGTAACAGAACAGTCACAATTAATTGTTCCCCCTGAAACTGTGAAGCCTCTTGTTTCTTACTCTGCAAGCGCAGAGGTGGTTGACTGATCCACAGGAGTGGTTGGAGGTATCCAAGGAGCTCTGAATAATCAGAGTTGGACTGAATCCCACAGAAAAAACGTGTACCACTTCCCCAGCTCTGTTCTCTGAAGCCTGCACAGATTATGCAATGTGATAGTTCATTTTCAAACAGTTGCAATCAGATTTTAGGAGCACTAAGAAACCAGTGGCTCCCATCACATCCCAGCTCAATCTCCAAAAAAACCATCCAGATCCCAGGGATTTGAGGCCTGGAAAAACTTCTCTCCCTTTTCTTTTCTGCTGTAAATACCTCAAGCACTTTACAATAAATTGCTCAAATTGGCAGATTTAACACAAAGTGGAGACAATTCCTTCCCAAGCTCGTGTGCACATTCCCTGCTCAGACGTCTCACAGGGTGGGAGCAGGGCAAGGCAGGGATGCATCCATGCCATGGACACTCCTCACCTGGCAGGTGCTGGCATGGAAGAGTTAAAAGATTTTCTAGAAGGCCTGGAAGGGGGAACACAGAATTTGTGACTCTGACAGAAAACAGGAGCATGAGTGAAAAAAAAAAAAAAATGGAAGGGCACAGAGAAAGATCTGAGTGTGTTACACCTCAGTGGTTCTCCAGGAGAACTCTGGACTGCTGGAGAGAGGGAAGTTCCTCCTCCTGCAGATTCCTCAGGCCAAATGTGTCCCTTTTGTGTGGACAATCCCTCAAGATTTGAGTATTATTTCTATTATTGTAATAAAAAAAGTTTAATTATCCAGATAATCATCTGAAGTGGAGAACACTTTTTCCCCCCCAAAGACTGGGCACGAAGCTACC